TAGTACTCACTAAAAGAAAGCGTTTTGCAAAGTTTTAGGTTGCGGAAACTTACGGTTCATGAGATACGTTTTTTTTTAATTTTCATATAAATTAGCAAATAACACGCAATTACAAAATAAATTTGACATATAATTGATGTCAAACGTCAATCACTTCACGGTTGTGCGAGTACTCATAGAGACGAAAAATTATGACAAACCATGTATCGATTCACAAAAGAATCGGTTTCTAAAATATCGATATTTTTCATGTTTGCATTTATAATTTAAATATAAATCCATTTTATGAAAAACAAGAAAGATACCATAATAAATGATCTCTTATTGAAATTTGTTTTATTTTAACAGTACCTATTAGGACAGATAACAAATAAAATAGGCTAGGTTCAACTTATGTCAAAGAACCGAATTGATTGACCCCGACTCCACCTGGTACGAGTCTGTCCTACCCCTAGAGTGCTTTTATAGAGCCGGAGGCGCGTAGGGGAAGCAGACTCCGCCTGCTGTAACAAATGCCTGCGATTTGTTACGCAAAGGCGTAGAGGCAGCTCTTCCCGCAGCGCCGGAGACGTTGCAGTCTCAAAATAGATACAGAAATCCCTCTTAATCAGTCCCCCTATTGTTTTCTGATGAACGGGATTTTTTTCTCATAAAATGGAGATATATTTACATTATAAATGCAAACATGAAAAAATATCGAAATTTTAGAAATCGATTTTTTTGTGCATCGATACATCAGCTTACGATTCGAATCGATTTATAAAATCGATCTTTTTCGAAAAGAATCGACATCCCTACTGACGATGACAATGACAATACAAAATAGCGTCAGTTTTACAGTAGGAATTGACATAAATATTGCAAAACTAGTTGATTTTCAATATTTTTTTTTCTCAAAAAGTACGCGTTTCCGCATGTTGAAACTGCGCGTGTGCTTATAATATTGTAACCTTTCTGTAAAAAAAATATGGGCATTTAAATCGATGGTCCATATTGGAAAGTTTAACCGTCAATGTTATCAATTATAAAAATATAATTTTTGATTAATCGATCGAGTCGCAAAAATCAACAATCGATTAATCGATCATTCGATTAATCGAATAGATATCGAACATCGCTACCGGGTCGAGCCGACCCATTTGTTCTACAGCCATATGATAGCTGTAGCGAGGCTCTACTATGTATAATTATTGTTTAGATATCAAACACGAAGAAATTTTGATCAAGTCGATTTATTTTTGCGCATTTTCCTCGTCATATTTGATGATAATGTATTCCACTGTTGTTATTCTGTGTCACGCTCGTATCCGTCTCTGTGCTTTCGCCTTGGTACTAGGAGGAAAAATTTGTAGGATGGGTTTTGGGGATTTCGTTCACACAAAAGCAACAATAGTTTTATTATGAACTAGCGACTAGCCCACCCCGGCTTTTCCTGGATAGGATATACTAATGTGGCGTTATTTAGATTTGAGGTAATCAAGGAAAATTTATTGTATTAATTAAAAAAAAATTGGATAAAATATAGCTTAGACACCTCCTGGCAGTGCTCCGTATCTGTTCGTAAAGTTTCATCACAATCTGTTTTGCCATTTCAATGAGTAGCCCGGATAAAAAGACAGACAGACAGACAAATTCTTTAACAATGGTTATTTATGTCTTAACAGCATGCAAATCGTCGTTGACACCGCAAAGGGGCGAACCTCAATTTTTCAATAAATTACAGGAGAGCAAGAAAACATTTATTATTCCCCGATTACTAGCTTTTTTTCATCAGAAAATTAAATATATTAGAATTAATAGAAAACTTTACGACGAATAAATGTTTTCTTGCTCTCCTGTAATTTGTTGAAAAATTGAGATTCGCCCCTTTGTGGCGTCAACGACGCAAAAATAACCCCCTGAACTTAGTAGAAGGAAAGAGGGATAAAATGTCGACAGCGCCCGAAGTTAGCACCTCATCGGCGCCCTTCTGGTGGTCATATATTATAACTTATAACTTGCAAATAAACTGCGTTATAATTAAATAAATATACATTTTAGTTGCTAAATAATTGGGACACGTCGTATTAGGAGGGCATGAATGAAATACGTGATAAGAGAGTTAGGGCGATGTATGAGTACATCTCCCTCACTCTCCTATCACGTTACGACTACATCCCTATAGAAAGTATAATTTTTTATTTTATGTAAGTTTGTACTACATAAATTTTTCGTCAAAAAGTTCCGCGCGCGCCCTTTTGTCACCTTGCCTCTAGACACGTGCTTAGTTTTCCTTAAGGATAATCCGCCACAGAACAGAAGCCAGTTAATTCAATATTACAGACATGCATTTCAATTTTATTTATTTGTTTAGGTAATGATGTACATTTTGTAAATACAAACAAGCACATCATGCTAATTAATTATACGATGTTATTTAGTTATACGAGTTACTTGACTCCAAAGAGTCAGTAATTCCTCCATAGGCCAATATGGACTCTTTTTTATTTTTTTAAAATTTACTGACCTTTTGAAATTATTACTCAGCAAAAAACGTTTAATAATTGCAATTAATTATTATATTACTACAGAGTATATGATTGATACTCGTAACAAATACAATAGGAATAAGGTGATCGCTATCATGATGTTTCTACATAACATAACGTAATGTATTGTACACATACATAACATATTGTACTCGTATTGTATTAACATATTGTATTTAAACAAGAGGTAAAATTAAAAATTTTGTACAACTGACTTCAATATAAATGAAATGAGAACATCATCAATGAAGTCGAAGTCAATTAAATATTGTTGCGCGCCACTATTAATGTCTTGTACATGGCAACACTAGTTACACTAGCGCCCTCTAGTGTCGAGTAAAAGAAAGTGTTGCACGCCACTATTAATGTCTTGTACATGGCAGCACTAGTTACATTAGCGCCCACTAGTGTCGAGTAGCAGAACTAGGAGAGTCGAGATCCTTCCAGAAATTTCGGGACCGATATGTACTCGAACATTCTAGATGGCGCTACAGTAGAAGGTTCTGGAAACTATTTGAGGCCCTATATAAGGCCGGTATAGACCACGACCGGGGCAGTATTGAATTGGCGATACAAGAGAATACTTCGAAGCGAAATAACGGCGAACTGTGTTTTATTATTAGTGTCAATTTTGGTAATTCAATCGGCAGTTTTTAATTGTCTCGAACCCCAAGCTCGTAACAATATGCATTATTAAGGATTAACTCTAAAACTATTGGTCAGATCTTGATCAAATAGGCGACTACATGAAAAGCCAGCTTTCAAATAAAAAAAGAATCATCAAAATCGGTTCACCTAGAAAACATAAAAAATACAATCAAATTGAGAACCTTCTCATTTTTTTTAAAATGAATGAAAAGGGTCCTGCTGGGTTTCTTTCTGTATCCGTGGTAGAACCAGAGTAACCGTCATCACTTAAAGAAACAGTTAGTTGAAGTGGCTATGGGCTGGTCATGTAGCTCCAAAAGCGACAACCTATTGGGGAGAAGGATTCTCGAATGGTAAGCAATGTTGCCAAGTCTAGCTTAGCCCGAGCCTCTAAAAATAAGCCACTAGGCTTAGCCGCCCAATTTTTTAAATGATTTTATTTCTCTAAAACGCTCTATTTTGAAGTCGAGTGTTCTATTAGTAATTTTTTTTAGTAGTAATAAATGTAAGACTATAGAAATTACTACAATGAATAAAAACTTCACCGGATACCGTAAAAGATTAAGGGTGACAAACGAGCACACAGTCCACCTGATGGTAAGTGGTTGCTGCGGCCCATACACATCTACATCTATCCTCTATTACAAATCAAAATGCAGATGGGTTGTCACCCGTGAGGACTAAGATGGAATGCCTCATTTCCAGTAAAAAGGGCCTCCGGCCACCTGCACTCACCAAAATTGTAATAATATTAAGCATTTTAAGAATAAGCTAAAATCATATCAAAATTTTATAACTGCATTTCTTAAATTTTGAACATACGAGTATAGTATTAATACAATATTCATATTTTTAGAACATTACGATATATTACAAACATATGTTTGCATTAAGTAAGAAAAAGTGTAACAAATTAATTAAGGATATATAAGAATAAACAAACATATGTTAGAATTAAGTAAAATAAAAGAATAACTAATTAATTAAGGATATATAAGAATAAAACAAATAGAATTATATGATGCATGCTACCGTATAAATACTGTTAATATTATTTTTTTATGTAGGTATACAAGTGAACAATGTGTTCTAAAACTTAAAATTTTGAAACTTGTATTGTTGCATTACACAGTTTATAGAATTGCCCTTTCTTTCTGAGATAGTCATATTAACAAACAGTCGGCAATCGTAATTTTTGGTCACCACCTTTCCCTTCGAGCTTACTTGGCAACACTGCCGGTATGTGAAATGAACGGTGGGAGAGTTTTGGCGGGAAATTGACCGGCGGCGGTTTGCTGCTCCTGTATTATTGTTTAAATAATGGTTTGAAGTGGACTTTGATATGTAAAAGTGTTGCGATTTTGTGTATTAAGTGTCTACGCATGTGAACTATTAGTGGAAACAGTGAAACAAGTGCTCTGATGGTGATGGATTCTCAAGATAAGCTGTTTGTTTGCATAGGCACCTTTAGATACCATCGCCAACTATCAGCTGTCTACTGGATCAAGTTGCCGCCAAAATCTCCCAAGAACTGCACAATGTGACGCATCAACATATTGTGAAGCAGTATACTATGAAGGAGTGGGGAAATTACAATAAACCGAATAAAAATACTTAAGACTTGGCCTAAAGGTCTAGATACCAGGCCATAAACTCCAAAAAAAAAATGAACGGTGGTCCACTAGTGAAACCTGTTAAGACGTGCAAGAAATCGTTGTATTCAGGAGGCTCAGAACTGTGTTATGTCGTTTTGCTTGGGGGAAGCCTATGTTATATAAATATTTTTTAATTTGTGTATATTGTAATATTATTTAATTTAATTACCTGGCGGTTGCCTGTCCTCCAGGCCAGTAAAATGCCCAGAAGGGATCTTTGAAAGGGCTGTCCTCGACCGGCGCTGACCATAGGGGGCAAGATGGTGTTATTAAACGGAGCGCTATCTCCGGGGTAAGATGCTGACGGGATGGTGCCGTGTGTCGCAGGATCTGAGCCGTCAGGTTTTTCAGCATTTTCCCTGAAAATATTATGTTAAATTATTTATGGTTTATTGCTACTTAGTCTAAATGAAATAGCATCGTCAAGGTACGTGGTATCTGGTAGTGCAATTGGTAATACGTCGGTCAAAAATGACGGCTAATGCTGTAAGGTGATGAACAATTTTTTTATGGAATAAGGGTGACAAACGAGCACATACTCGACTTGATGGTAAGTGGATGCTGTGGCCCGCAGACATCTACATATATTATACTCGATTAAGTATCAAAATGCAGGTGCGATGTTTGCGCCTACATTATGAATACCTTTTTTTTAAACGTTACCTCCACACTAGGATTTTCTCCTGTGTTGTGGGGGCAGTTTACAAACTTAAATTGCACAAGGACAAACATCCAGACCTGGAAAATTATTTGTAGGCCATACAAATACTTGTTCCGTGCGGGATTTCAACTCAGTTGCTAAGCCACTGCGCCACTGACTCATCATTCAACATAGATCACATGATGTATGTAATTTAAGAATTACATACATAATGTGATGAAAGTCATTTTTTACTTTATCACTAGATCGGAAAAAAACCTCTGTCCTAGGAAAAAACCAGCAAGAAACCCAGCGGGAGTTTTTTTAAAGGTAAATTTTACATGAAAGGCTGTATTGATATTATAGTAAATATGTAGGTATTTAAAAACTATTTACAAAATTTATTTTAGAAACAACTAGGAAGCCAACACATCCCCAGGGGTTATTATTAACCATGTATTCATTTATATAATAATAACCCTTTTATACAGTTTTAGTTTAATAAAATATTTAAAATTAGTAATAGCGAAATAGCGTATACATTGCCCCAAGAATGAATTACTGACTCTGTGGAGTCGAGAAACTGATCTTTCTTCCTAGTGTTTACTGTGTATATCACTGTTTTTTACTAAAACTATCTTTGTTTTTGTGAACATACATTAAAGTTAAGTAAAGAGACCAAAGTTAATATATTTATTTCTCTAATTTTTTTTTATTGCAAAACCATTTTTTTTTATAGGATAAGGGTGACAAACGAGCACACAATCCACCCGATGGTAAGTGGTTGCTGCGGCCCATAGACATTTACATCTATCCTCGTTTGCGAATCAAAATGCAGATGCGTTGTCACCCGTGAGGACTAAGATGAAATGCCTCATTTCCAGTAAAAAGGGCCTCCGGCCACCTGCACTCACCAAACGAAACGCAGAGGTAAACCTCTACTTCACGCTGGTATTCTGTGAGGTCGTGGTACCACCCCGGTTCGAACCGGCCCATCCGTGCGACAGCAAAAGCTGCCGCGTGGCTCTACCACTGTTAAAAATACACAATACAGGTGAACGCGCCCCTTTATGAAAATATACAACATGTAAGTTTTTTTCAGACCTTGACCTATATCACTTAACACATTCACAATTTCGCAAGAATGTTCCACGAAGGTAGTTAGACATTCATTAGTATTAAAAATATTTCACAAGACAGATTGTTTATTTTTGCCTATTTTTTTCCTTTCGTCTCTTTTTAACATTTCCATGTTGCTGGGCTTTGTCGATTTTATTTGTTTATTCACTTAAACTCTGTTAGCTCTATATTTTATTATAGGATATGTGTGACAAACGAACACAGAGTCCACCTGATGGTATGTGGTTGCTGTTGCCCATAGACGTCTACATTTATGCTCGATGACGAATCTAAATGCATATTATGCGTTGTCAGCCGTGAAAACTAAGATGGCATGCCTCGTTTTCAGTAAAAAGGGTCTCCGGTTCTCTACAGTCAGCATATAGATGCAGCATGGCTCTACCACGTAAAAAATTGTATTATATTAATTTAATATTACTTTCGGATAACAGTGCTGATTACATAATTAATCATGTTATTTACAAATCGTTTTTTAGTTTGAGCTTTATTATTGTTTGTTGTCCTGAATAAAAAAATGCGTTGTCACTCTTAAGGTATTAAAAGGGGTCTCCAGTAAAAAGGGTATCCAGTTGCTGGTATTGTCCGAGAGCCTAGTTCGTGCTCCTACCCCGGTCGAGAAGATAAATTCGTGTTACATAATATAGCTGCAGCGTGGCTCTACCACGTGAAGTCAATGGGAGATGCTCAATATACTTACTACTATCTTTAGAGGTGGTAGGACTACTTTTGTTGGTTTTTGGTAGTGTGGCGACCGCAGTACCGTCGCTGGTCTAGATATTTTACGTTTGCCTCAAACGAGATGACCTTATAACGGTTTTTTTGAATGTTTTCCTTAAAATGGGTACACGGATCAAGTTTACGTATATTCTAAGGTTTTTTCCTTCTTCAATTTTCCGTTCCAATATGAAAGGAAGATTGGAATGTAGATTTAAGAGTCTAATAATGCAAGATAAGTATGAAATTTTTGAGTACTCTTTTTTTTTAGGTAATGTTAAATTTATATAAAATCTTTGTTATTGACTATTTGTGTTAAAATAAAAATAAAATAGTTTTAGCAGGCCTGAATACAGGATTCCCAAGGCAGGCCACTAGCTACAATCGTTGAAGTTGAAGGAACATTGAATCGAAAAATGCGATCCTTTATACAAGGTTCATTGTTCGAATTTCAAATTTTTTTTCTTGAGTAATGGACTCGTATGGTTGTGTTTTTGCCGCTGTCAAGTAATTAGAAATTATCCTGTTAAAATAAACTTCTTTACAATATGTTAATGCTTTACATTGCGAAGTATTTGGGAAATTTTAACGGCAGCTTGAGCCAGCAGATAGTTTATGACCTTTACGACTATATAGGTACATTAGTAAAATTCTTTCTTTAAAGTTAGTTGGAGGAGTTCATGGATTGCAGAAGCCATTGGCCGTTTACAACATTCAATGAGTTCGTTAGTCACTTCATATTTGGAGGTTCTCTTTAAACTAGGTAAGACACATATTTTAATTTTTTACGCGAAACTTAACTAATTACTTTTCAACAACATTAATAAAATAAATCAATAGTCATATAATCAATATCTAAATTAAATACGTTAGCACCGTACACCTTAGCTAATAAGGTTGAATATCGCTAGTTTCGTAAGTTCTTAGTGTGGGGCAATGTACGGAGGCGTGTTCAGCAGCTGTTACGTGACCTTGGACGAGGTCGCTGCCACGTCATTCAGCGTTGCCACAGAGTTAAAGTTTCTTTACTCATGTGGCGTTGCCTTGTGTTTGTGGAATGCTTTGGCCTTGAAAGTCCGACTTGCGAATCTTACTAATATGATAAATAAATTAAGGTATAATTTGGCATACACAGTTAAATATTATTACAGAAAAATTTGCATTTTTTAATCTTCAATGTATGTAGGTAAAGGTACCTAGGCACCGCGGTGATATGTTTCTAATTTCCTTTTTCGCGAATAATGTTTTTCTTTTGTAATACTCGATTAAGAATCAAAATTTAGATGCGTTGTCACTCCTGAGGACTAAGATGGAATACCCCATATCCAGTAAAAACGATTTCCAGTTCTCTACACGTACCATACGAGGCAGCAACATTAAGTTGCTATTTTACGCTGGTATTCTGTGAGAACGTGGTCCTACTACCATAATATAGCTGCAACATTGTTGTACCTACAACGTAAAGTGTAGTATATGTACTTGTACTATTCTATTTGGTGTAAGTTCGTTATTCTATCCTACAAACTGCATTTAAACACATATTATCTACAGAGTAATTCTATTCGTATATCGTACAAACACACCAGAATTCGCTGATGGAATTACCTACCTACTTTTAAAAATAAACTTGTTTTTTTTTTAAATAAAAATAGGCTCATTAATAACAAGTTTAATAGCATAAAATCGTAACCAAAACAATGTAAGCCGATAACAAAATGTTTTGCTTCAAAGTGGGTGGAAAATACGTCTCATATTTATTACCAATGGAATAATTAATGTAATATTATGTAAATATTTCTATGAAGTTTTATCCTTAATAGTTGTTAGTATGCAATTTTTTTTTAATTTAGAAAAACCAAATCTCTTTACGGCGGCAAATTATAAAACATATGTACATGTACAGGTACATATCGTCACGCCCATTATCCCCGAGGGGGTATATTAATAACTAGCTGTGCCCGCGGCGTAGCTCGCGTATATAGGTTTTACTTAAAGAATTTGACGTTTAGGTAAGAGAATATTAAAAGATTTATATCATTACTGTATGAATAAGTGGCACCAAAATAAATCGTTATGCTCAAAGTTCTGAGTCGTTTGTGATAGAACTTCTGTGTAAACGACGTTAGAAGTAGACAGCCAGGGCGTACAGAAAAATGTTACGGGGGCTACTAACGCGGGAAAAAGCAACATAGAGTTGGCCCTGTGCAAAACATTCAGTACTGAGGTTCACTCCTGCAACGCGTATAGTTTGACCTTGCGCTTTATTTACGGTCATCGGTCATCGCATAACACACGCTGACTGGGAATGGGAAGTGGGAACAGAACACGCTTACAACTGAAAGGAAAGTTATTTGATATAAGGTGGATTCTTGGTATAAAACAACATCATGACATATTGTTTTTGATGCAATTTTGCTACGTTTAGCTTGGGCGTACGTATCTTTTTTCTGATATCTGTTTTTGATGATGTTTGTGCTGTTAGCTTACACCCTACACGGCTCTTTCAGCTTGAATGGACTCGTTAACGTACAACGCCATCTATTACGTTCTTCGTGGAAGACATCCTTTTTTAATTTAAGGAAAACATATTTTTTGTTTACTGTAAAAAGTATAAATATTTATACTTTAAACCATAGAATTATTACGCATAGAATACTAGTACGCGCACGGAAAGTGAAGCAAGTTAAACTAACGCGAAACCGCGTTAGTTCACTCAGCGACGCGTCAGTGCGCATCGTCATGTCTTACGGAGAAGAGCTCGCGAAAAATTGTAAAAATGACCGTTTTTGTTGTAAAAGATTGTCTCAACAGTGATGATAAACATAAAAGAAGTGATGGTACTGCATTTCACATACAAGTT